CCCCCCCCCCCCCCCCCCCCGGAAACCCACTAGCATACACAAACATGAACAATGCAGCACCGACAAGACTCAAAACTTTTCCAAAACCTAAAAATTTAAATTTCTACACTCCAATCCAAGTTCATAAATAATGCAAATTCTCATATCTTTACTTCGACAAGTACATACATAAAGAGGGAGGAATTACCTGGATGAGTGCCAAAATGATTCTGGGATTTGAAGTTAACCGAAAAAGTGTCCGGCAAGCACCTGAATTGCGGCAGCAGACACGACATCCTTCTCCTAAATGTCTAAATACATACACATAAGCAGATATGTACTTGTGAGCATGCTATTCATACACAAATACAATCTGCTTTTACAAATGAGGCAATTAAGCAGGTTTCCAAAATCAATTGAGTTAGAGCAGAACAAAATCTGAACAGAAAAAAATTGTGAGAGAAGATTCGGGAGAGAGGAGTGATGGGTTGCCAGAAAGTGATAAATAAATGGATAAGAGAATGTTTTTGCCCAAGGAAATGAGGACGAGAAATCGACAAGCAGCTGCCGCTTTAGGCGTGTTGGGCTTTGGGCTTTTTTGGTTATGGGTGTGTGGTAAGGGTTTGGAAGCCCCTCTTAAGGGAAGAAGACCAGAAGTATATCGGGAAAATTAGGTGATGTGCCCTGTAAAAATAACTAATTTGATTAATACACTTTTAATCTACTTAAATCTTTCAAACAAGTAATAAATACGTCCTGAACTACTAACTAAAACCCAAATCAAAAGGAAGGAAGAAAAACGAAGTTCTTCCCTCCGCGATCTGTGATGATGGGGGAAAGGACACCCACTCCACTCCTGGAATATCCTTAAGAAAAATGTCATATGCAGAGTGGCAGCTGCGACGGGAGAATGACTTGTGTTTTCGGTGTGATGAGAAATACACCATGGGTCATCAATGTAAGAATCGCGAGCTGAAGGTAATGCCGGTACATGAAGATGAACATACTGACGAGGAAGAGCGTGATCTCTCGACATAGGAACAGCTAGTAGAGGTGGTAAAAAGGGTGGAGCTCTCATTAAATTTGGTAGTAGGTTTGAGGACGCCTGGAACTATGAAGATTAAAGGTACAGCGGCACAACAAGAGGTAACAGTCCTAAGTGATTGTAGGGCAACCAACGATTTTATTTCATTGGAGCTAGTCAAGAAGTTGGATCTGCCAACTGCGAGGACTACAAATTATGGAGTTATCATGGGGTCTGGTGAAGCTGTAAAAGGAAAGGGGATTTTCAGGGGAGTCGTGGTGGAGATGCAGGTGCTAACAATAGTAGAGGACTTCCTACCCAAAGCTGGGCAACTCGGATATGGTGTTGGGAATGCAATGGTTAGGTAGCCTAGGCAGTATGGAAGTCAATTGGAAACTCCTTACTATACAATTTCGAATTGGAGATTCAATCATGAGTCTGAAAGGAGATCCCGGCCTGAACAAAGCAGGAGTCTAAAAATGATTACTACTTTTTAATTTTGCCTTTTGTAGTTGTAAATCTGGAATTTTATAATGAAGATTGCATAAATGCAGTGCTGTGAATTGAAACAAGGATCACAAATTAATTTTTTGTTGGATTCTTTCTTTTAACGGTTGGTCTGTCCCAATCATATACTATACCAATTAAATTAAATTATACTCTTAACTAAAAAGAACAGAAAAAAAGTTATTGAGTGATGGCCAAGGTTGGTGTCAAAATGTTTTAATTATAGTTGGTGTTCAACATTATTTGGTTGTTGTCACTTTTTTGAATATTTATTACTTTTTTGAATTTTTATCACTTAATTGAATAGCTTCCAAATCCAAAATATGTTAGTTAATAGAAGTGAAACATAATCACAAGCATATAACGTGTAAAAGAAAATCAACCATCCATTTGACCTATTTTAAGGTTATGATTTGTGTTAAATATTATTTGTTACTTTTTTTAGTGTTTGTCAATTTTTTTAATAGTTTGTCACTTTTTTTATGTTTGTCACTTTTTATTGTCGTCACTTTTTAATCTGTATAGCTTCTTTTTAATTTGTGCCAGTTTTTCAAATTTGTCACTTTTTAAAATTTGTCAATTTTTTAGAATTTTGTCATTTTTTTTAGTGTTTATCACGTTTTTAAGTCATCTTCTTGATTTCTATCACTTTTTTTAATGATAAACATCAATTTTTAATAAAAGTGACATTGTATGTCCTTTTTAATAAAAAAGTGATAGTTAACAGTGTCACTTTTTCAAGCGTCATTTAATTTTATGCATTACAATCTATTGATGTCAAAGTTGCTCGTCAATTTTATAAAAGTGACATTGTGTCACGTTTTTAAATTTTGTCATTTTTTAAGAAGATAAGAAAAATGAAATTACATGTTATATTTTCCTAACATAATCAACATGTGGATTGACCTGGACGTACTGATTATTTTAAAAACTTGATTATTGGTGATGCACAAATGGATGATGATATTTTGGTATTTGTCACTTTTTTTGAGTTTGTATCACTTTTTGAGAGTGTGTCACTTTTTTTTTATTTTGTCACTTTTTTGAGTTTGTGTCGATTTTTTTTAAAAGTAACTTTTTTATTTTATACAGTGTTTTTTATTTCCTAAAAATATTTCATATGATTTTTCAAAACATCCCTAATTTTAAAGGTATTTTTGTAAGTACTCCAAATATATATATGGTAGGGATGGGCAACGGTTCGGTTCGGCCGAAACCGTACCCGCACCACCAACTCTTTGGCCATACCATAACCATGTAAGTCGGATCGGTTCGGTTCGGCTTTGTTCGTATCTCGATTCAATCTGATTAATAACCACGAAAATAATATATTTTTATAAGTCCAAACTCCAACTGTCAAATTGAAAAAAAAAAAATTATGAAGAAAAATCAATAAAAACAAACACACAATTCTAAGCCAATTTAGCAAATTATATCCCAAATGAAAATACAAACAATATCTCAACTTCCAAGTGCAAAATTCGAATTTAACAAACAATATTATCAACATAGGTGAAGACACTTACTAGCATAGGTCAATCTTCATTCTTCACCACAACTCTTACTAGCATAGGTCAAGAATCAAGACTCAAAGTTGATTCCTATATAGTAAATAAGAAATATAATTAGAGTAATAATACAATCATACTACATAATCAAGAATGGTTTTAACTAAAGATTTAAACAAAAAAATGTATATCTTTGGCAATGTCCTCCTCACTAAACTTTGCAGAAGCTCCGAATTATGATGAATGAGCAGAATTTTCTACACAATAGAGAAAAAAATTAGTAATAAAAGAAAGTGCATAATTAACAAATATAAAAAATAAAAATCATACCATGAATACCAGTTCAAAGCCAATCCCGAGCACACATTAAAGTTTCTAAAATTTTCGGGTGAAGTCTATTTCTACGTGGACTCACAAATCTACCACTTGTACTAAACGCTGACTCAGATGCCACAGTAGATACTTGAATCGCTAATAAATCTCTAGCAACCTTCTGTAAAGTCGGATATTTTATTGAACTTGCTTTCCACTATGTCAATAAATCAAAACCATCCACCATTGGCAATACTGGCTCGTCTAGAAAAACATCAAACTCTATTTTTACATGATCAGTGGTAACAAAATGACTAACAAATGTATCAAAACGACTCTGATTGTGAAGATAATGAAGACTGGGATGTATTTTTTGTCGAATGACGTGGTCTCTTGTACTCTTTGAGCAACTTATGACAAAATGCTCTAACCTTTTCAACATCTACCTGCGCTTCATCTCCAAAGATCAGAGGGAAATAGTATGCAACTAGTTTCATCTTGCTTCTCGGATCTAATACAGTTGCAATGCTAGAATTCCATGCATGCCACTCCTATATTTTTCAAACTTTTCCTTCATGCTTGATGCCATCTATTTGACTTCATCACAAGATGATGTGCTCCAATCACAGATTGCCAACTTTATGTCACAAATATTTGGAAAGTACAGATTGGTAGTAGGATATTTTGTACCTAAAAATAATTCAGTCGCTTCATAAAATATCTCCAACTTAACACAAATCTCCGTAGCCAAGTTCCAATCACTCTCACTAGGTACAGTTCTGTATTAAAGCTCTCTTTGTCTTAGACGAGGAAAAAGTTCTTTATAAAGTAAAGTAGTATGCATTATTAGATACGTGGAGTTCCATCGAGTCTTGCAATCCAACGCTAACTTTTTTTCACAAGTGATTTTCATTTTTCGTGCAACTGTCTCAAATGTTTCAACTCTTTTTGGTGTTGCTGACCAATATGAAACACTATCAGCTAATGATATCCAAACCATCCTTTACTATCAGGCTCAAGATGTGTACACAACACCGCAAGTAGAAAAATTCACCATTCAACAGTAAAGAACCAAGAGAAAGCTTATGTAACATAATGTTAATCATAGCGTCATTCGTAGTGCAATTATCAACAGTCAATGTGGACAATTTCTGATCAATATTCCAGTCAAATAGACATTCCATTAACACAGTGAATCAGCGGTGTGGAGGCAAGGGACGTATATAAATCTGCATCGATGGTGAAAAAAAGTTCGCAAGATCACATAAAATTGATGAAGATATCAAGAGTAGCTTAAAGTCTATTTTATAGAACTATCGTATCTCAAAATTCAACTTTGAAGCCTCCAAGAATCGTCTATGTAATGTGCGGTGATAGCCATAAATCCCTTTTTTTGATTGGATGTCCACATAGTAGTAGTGACTGCTATTCTACTATTGGTCCCTTCTAACAAGCCCATTACTTTTGTTCTTCGAAATCAAAAATTTTCAAGATATCAGCCTTGATAGTATTACGAGAAACAACTTTAAATAATGGTTGAATTGTATTACAAAATTTTCTAAACCCAGAATGCTCAACCATTGAAAGAGGATATTCATGTAGGATGATCGTATTTGCAAGTTCCTTCCTACCTTTCTCTTGATCAAAATTAAATGCCAACATTGCAGTCCTACCACTAGGTTCTTTAAATTGATTTAAAAACATCTGTTTGACATCCTTCTAACCTCGAAGGGGACATCTATCCAAATGAGCACGTAAATGACTTGTCCCATTTTTTGACTCACCACCTAATTGTTTCTTGCATTGTTTACAAATTACTTTGGGCACGTTATTAATTCTTTGTAGTTTGAAATGCTGCCACACTGTATACGTCAATTTTCTTTTTCTAATTTCCTCAGTCGGCTCCACGTCATCACCTAAATTTATATGAGTAGGATTTGCATTT